GCTTGCTGTCAAAAATTCAGACATTCCTACTCTCATTTGATCCTGCGAATAACAAAAATTAGAAAAAGTAACGGTTCCACTAGTATTAGTAAAAGAAGTTATTTGAGCTTGTTTAGTATCCAAATGCCCTCTTTCATTTATGTGTTTATTTTTATGTCTTCGCAATGTGCCTGTGCCTTGACCTTTAACCCATGTATAACTCTTTATACAAAGAGTGCATATTACTCTTTTGTTTGGTTTATCCACTGTAAAGATTTCTCAAACATCAAATGTGTGTTTTTTATTCCTTCGCTGTTGAGAAGATCCAATATTTGGATTATTATCATCTTCCAAATTTATTGAAAAACAACTATTATGTAAATTGACATTTCTTGAAAAAAAAATCGTGAGAATTCATAACACTTTAACAAAATTTTTTGAAATAATAAGATGAAAAGAAAGCATAAAATAGAAATTATGAGAAAATAGAGATTTTAAATTTGTAGTTGTAGATTGTAAGAGTTTGCAATCTTTTCACTTCACAATACCATTATTTATAACCAAAAAAATAATAAAAAAAAAATACTGTTGCTATACCTTGCCATTTTCGAAAAAAAATAAATAATAAAATTTCAGAAAAAAGGGTCACAAGATAAGACCTGTGACCATTCGGGCTGGCTGCAGGCTTTTTTTTTTTTTTTTAATTTTTAATTTTTTTAAAAAACACAGGCCAACGATGGTTTTTCCGGGGCGGCCCGTGATTCGGCCAACTCGGTTCGTGGGTCGAATTTCAGGCTAGTTCGCCTTTGTGCGGGCCTGGGCTGCCCGCCCATCTTGACATGTCTATCTCAGACCACGATTTTACCTGCTAGCTCTTTTAATCAAGTTTGTTTTATTGTTGATTGAAATTTTATCTAACATTAAAAGTGATCCCTTTACATTGTTTTTTTTTTTCATATTTTACTACTACCTAAACTTCATATGTCTTGCACTGGTAGTAATCTACTATTGAAGGACTTCCCGAAGGATGTTCGAATCTTCCTCCGTGACGAAGACAAAGATTTTAACCTCGAGATGAGATCAAATCTCAAGGAAATGGAATACTTAGGTAAATTATTAGCCTTCATATCTTTTGTTTTAGGAACAGTCCCTAGATTATAAATCATTACCTTTTAATTTTTGTAGGCATACAGTGCTACAATGAGATATTTAAGTTTTGAGATTCAAGATTGTTGAATGATGAAATCAAGAATTGATCAGCACAAGATTATGGAGAAAATTGCTTAACAAGCTTTTGGGCAGCCATTTTGATCAATCACAAGTTGGAAAGAAAAAAATTTATGTTATTTGAAATTATATTAGTCCTATTCATTTTCATATTTTTTTTAGCAAAAAATGTTTTTAAAGTACGCAAAAAATCTAACAATTTTTCTCCTTATTCTTTAAATGAAAAAAAGTATGTATGTGATATAGAAGATTTGATTGGCTCGACAAATATAGTGTTGCAAAAGATCTGCTCATCTAGAGGTATACTGATGTATATTACCTTTTATAATTATTTAAATTTTATTTTCATTTTATTTTATAAATTTCACGATTAAGGAATTTGTTTTGTGTACTATTTTTCTGTTAGATTATATTGGGCATCTTCATATTTTTTGACCAAGTTGCTTTGGTAACCTTAGTATTGGTGAATGAACTTGTAAAAATACAATTCAGGTAATTACAGTTCATAGAGGAATTGCCAGTTTACTGGATTATGAATTTGAAAGCTAGAATATATTGATTGATTCAATTTCATAATTACAGTCCGAGCATGTAAATGAACACTATTGAATATGACGTTTTAATTTTTTGCTTTTGATTAATGAATTTGAACGTGCGCACCTTGGCTCCATTAACTTTGGGAAATTATTCACTTTCCTCTTTATCATTCTATCATTTTTTGTACATTTGTATGAAATTGTTCTTTGTCATCCTTTAGTGTACAGTTTATGCTTCACTTCTCTTAATTGATTGAATGATAAATAGTGTAGCTTATTAAAATAATTGAAAAGTGTGATGTATCCCATTTCAATAACTAAAATTGATTTCGCATGTACGTACTTGGGTTGCATTATTTTTCGGAAAGGAGACTCTCCTCTTGAAATGTCATGTTTGGTTATATGAAGTTACATCGCTTGAAATGCCTTGAAAACGAAATTTATGTCTAAATGATTTGGCTAACATCTAGAATTTTATTTTAGAGCATAGCAAATGTTTTCAATTGTTCTTGGCAACTTTTAAGATGATTAATAAGCATAATAACTGCTTTCCTTATATTCTCGATATAATTATTATGACTGTGTCTCATAGATGGAATTGTAATCTTTTATAGCCAATTATTTTATCCAACGCAAATATACTATAGATGATTCTTCGATGTTTTACTCTTGCAGCATAATCAATAATGTAAATCGTACAACAATTGGCAATTAAAAAAAACGAAGCTAATTTTTTTTTAATAATGTGTACTTGGAGCTATGTTCCAGCCGGTTAATGGGCTAAATGTGATTTCTTGCTCAGCTTGATTAATTGAATTTTTTGATTGATCTATCCTTTTTTCTTGTTTATATCATTAAAAGTCTCTAACTAGATACTCACTGCCAATTTTATCTTTTATTATATTGTGTGATCCTATAATGCATATATATATGTTCCAATGAATACTATTATTGACTAAGAAATTTAAAGAAGTGCTTCGGAAATTTTGTTTTGTAGATGCACTAAATGCAAAGATAAACATCCATACATTGTTGAATTCAAGGAAGCATGGGTAGAGAAGGTATGTACCTGAAAATTTCTATTTATTGCTGCAATTTGATTATTTCTTCTTATTTAGTAAAATATTGCTAGCATTTTACCCAACTGAGCTTTTCATTGCAAAAATGTTAATGTAGGATTGCTACACTTCAAATGAATATTATTCGTTAGGTGCTTGTAAAGATGCTGATATATATACAAGGATCCAGGGTATGTTTTGTTATATTCTATTTCAAATATATTTTTATCATCTACATTTCATTATTCTTATATTCAATTCATTATTCTTCAAGGAAGCATTAACACAATTTTTCTAAAATTGATTCCTTGATCACGACTCTCTTTTTGAAATTGTCGAAAAAAAAAGTTCTTGTATCTCATATGTAGTGCTTATGAATGGCACTCTTTCTCATAATATAGGAGTTCTTGTATCTATTGGTTCCAAGAAAATTGGTTATGTTATTGCATAAATAGAATCCTGTAGTAGCACTCCATTATAGTTTTGCCAGAGTGTAAACTTCCCGTGTGAGTTCTTGTATATAGTGTTCCATTTCTACTTCGCCAATGCAACACATGTCTACCGAATGCATTAAATTTGTTAGTATTTCATTTATTTACTGCAAAATGCTCAAGGCCTTGCAATTTTTAGTTAATGGTTTCTTTCTAAAACTTTTTTGCTACACGAATAATTGTATTTTTAACAAAGACACTCCAATATTTAAGTAGATATATTGAACCTGGAAAGTGTAAAATATGAACACTAACTATTTTTCATTGGACACTTTCACTCCATTCTTTCTTTGCATCTATTATTCTGGATAATCAAAAATAGTTTTTTTTGTAACAATGTTATTATCCAACATTTCTTTCAAGAGAAATAGTTCTGATTATTATAAATGTTACTTCAAAATGTGTTCTAATTCATCTCACTTATCTTTCACATTTCAATTATCAGTAGTACTAAATAAGTTTAATTAGTGATGTCTAAAAAATAATCAAAAATCACTCTACACTATTACATAACTAACTACACTACGACACGTTCACAAGCGTCTCACTAGTATTAAAATAAAAATAAATTTTACTGTCGATTTTACGTTACACAGCAATAATCGAAAGGAAGAAACGTACGCCAAGGTCCAAAATTCCAAGAACCACGCTACTCTTCACTCGACGGCGTCAGAAACTGCAGGAGCGTGCCGTCATCTTCATCAAATCCCTAAACCCCACGCTACGCCCCTCCTCTTCTCCCACGATATTCCCCCATTATTTTACATTTCCCCATAAACATATCTCCAGGGAAAGTAATTAATTTCAGAAAGTTAAAAATTATTTATTTAGTAACTCTGTTTCCTACCAAGGACACAAGTACAACTGGATATGCATCTGGGTACAATCGTATTATATTTATTTATTTTTTTCTATTTCGAAATTATTACAGATTGTTCTAGATTTTGCATAAATAAAAATCAAAATTGATGCAATAATCTCTATTTTAAACTCCGATATTAATCTATATATATATTTTTTTACTTTAGGAGAAAAATATATAAAAAGGTTAGGAATTTCTTGGACAAAACTTTCAAAGTTATTCTTTAAGAAGTGAAGCTAATCCGGTGACCACCACCTTGTTTCCGGCGTCGGAAATCTTGGGTTTCACTGCCGGAATCTGCCACGTCATCACCGGCTGGCAATATATCTTCTGCCCCTCGCCGGAAACTTTTGCTGGAGTTGAAGGCAATTTGGGTTCCTCGAAATCAGACTCCCCAAAAATCAAATCCAGTTCCCCAAACTCACCTTCCAAAACCTCCTCCGTAGCCTCCGCCTCATCGTTGACACCCTCTTCCCCCGGTTCGTATTTAGATCCTGCATCGGTCGGCATCTCAACGACATCGTTTGGGAGGAGTCTCTGCTGAATTCGTGTGTAAGGGCTGAACCATTTGGATTTAATGTATTCGGTTCTACGCCACGGCGCGATATGCATTCCTTTCCTCTTAAGGCTTTGCCGGGCGGCCTCCGACACTATTGAAACAATTTGGAGAAGCCGATCGGGTTTACCAACGAAAATATTTGGTAGAGACTGTAGAATCACCTTGTAACTGCTTGTTGATCGAGCTATTTCGAACTCCGATCTTAAATCTATGTCGATTATCAGCCTCTCTCCTTCCGCTATCACATCAATATACACATACTCGCCTACACATACAAAAACCGCCATAAATGATCGGATTCCAAATCGGCAATGAAAATTGATCAAATTATGAATTAAAAATGATGAATTTCGTACCAGCTGGAATGGAGGAAGATTTTTCCCATTTGGATTTGCAAATGGAGGCGTCGTAACCAAGAGCAACAAGACCATCGGTGACTATTTTCCTCAAACCGTCTTTGCGCTTACAAGTCTTGTTCTTTTCCACCATTTTCGAAAGGTCGGCTAGCAGATTTCTCTCCACAACACTCGCACAAGGTACCAAACTCTACAAAAACACCATAAAGACGTCAATATAAACTGATTTAGAGGCCAAAGGCTATGTGTTAGAGAATCAATCGATATTAATATGTACCTTGAGCGTATCAGAAGGGTCGTTGAAGGAAGAGTTTGTTGTGGAGTCAAAGAAAGAATCAAATTCGTCGTCGGAGCTGTCATTGCTGTTTCCGTTGAAGCAATTGCAGCGGTTGCGGCCATACTTGGCAAACGTCGCCACTGATTGCTTCTCTTGGGTATCTTCAATGAAATTCTGAACCATTTTGTCCAGCAAAACTGAGCTCGGCTCAAACTCCGGCACTGTGGCTTCACCACCGGCGGCTGGCTTCTCGGTCAGCGAAATCCTAACACTGTTAAAAGGCCGATCGAAAAGTCTCTTTAGTCTCGACTTAAACACAGGTGGCTTCCCGGTGTCGTTCCGTATGGACGACTCTCTGTATACTTGCGAATCGATCGGTTGGATTCTCATCGGAAAAGGCATTTTCTACAATCGTACTGTACTTAATTATACTCCCTGTTATGTCAGTTGAATTCTCGGAGCTCCTAATAGCTACAGTACTAGCTTTGCGTGTCAAGGAATCAAAAAAACTCTGAATACTTTTCAAAAGCACAATACTCAAAACTAAAGTGAAAAATCCCCAATATCAATGCTTCAAATTCTGCTTTTTCTCTCCTATCATCATCATCTCTCACAGATGGAACAAAACTTCCCAATAATTTAACATCTAATATATACTGAATAAAAATTAAAAGAAAAATCCTCCGTTCTGAGATTTGCTATAAACAGGAATGAGTTATTTTGTCAGATGAGTTGGTTAGGACTTTTCATGTAAAACGTGACTATAATGAAAGGAGGCAAGAGGACAGTATTCGTGGAGTAATGAGTCAGAATCTGCTGCCGGAATACACATTTTCCGGCGAGCTTTATATCGCAAACGGGAATGTATGGCTTGTGCTTTTAGTGAAGCCAAGAGAAAAAATTAGTGGGTTTATATTGGGGAGGAAGTTTGCTGACTAGGATTGGACTCTTACCTGTCGTCCGATGTGTCAATGACGTGGTATATAATGGCTTAAAATCCGGGTTGGGATCGCGCGACGGGAGTTTGAGATTTTTGTAAAATGAAGCTGGTCCAGACCATACACGTGTCCGCTTACAACGGTTGAAATTACAGAAATGTCATTGTGGAAAGTTTTGACTTAAGTGACAAGAATACTTTTCCTTGTTTTTAGTTAAATTTTTATTATTTGGTTTTGAAAATCAAGCTCACCTCTTTGAAAATTCATTTTTCTTTCAATTTATTTTCAACCACTTATTCTCCGAATGAAATAATTTTACATGTAATTCAAATTTTTTTCTACTTTTAAATTATACATGCTACTACTACAAAATATATTCTGCCTAAAAATGGGCGCAAACAAGCCCTTAAAATTATTTTATGTTCATGCTGCTGTTATGTCTTCTTCTATGTGAACCTCTATTTTATTCATTCTATTTTAAAGTAAATTTTATGGTAAAAGAAAACTCATTTCTTAAGCAAAAGACAAAATTTGCCTACCTAACATCAGTTTTGCATTTTTATTTCGAAACACAGCTCTTTTTTTTTTTTTTTAGAAACGAAGCAATTTAACATCATACAATTTTTTTATTAAAAATGGTAGAATTCTTATTTCTAAGTCATTCTTTTTATATAAATCATCAAAATTACTTTTGACAAAATAAACTAACTTCCGTGTTAGGTACTTTTGAAAGTTAATTTCTAACATGTTCAATAATAGGTGATGCTGATTGATTTTGTATGCCCTAGAACCTGCACAAAGAAGGAATTGAGAAACTCATTCTCAATTGCCCTTCAGTGTCAGAGAAATTAATATTTTCTTGGAGTATATATGAAGAAAATAAAACTTGCGTTATATGAAAGTTGTTATTGTTGATTTTGAATTCATCTACATTTATACTGTCCTTCACAACTTTATTTACGATCTTTCACATGAAAACATCTGCACTCTTAATTTTGAATTCATCCATCACATCAACGCACATATCTCCTTCAGAAACGAGGAAATGTCAACAAAGTTGTTATGGTTGATGTACATATATCATTATTCTACTTTTTATATTGTTTTTAGCCTTCTTTCTGTATAGAGACTTTAAGAAGATGGCATGGCAAAGAACAGTTACAATCATGTGGGACAGATGTCTTAGGATTTTTGTAATATGCAACGAGAATTGAAGTTAGTAGAGGAAATTGAGAAGGTAATTGTCATGGATTGATCACCCTCACAAGGCAAAGAGTAGTGTCCTCGAGGTAGTTGTTTGTTCATCCTTTTTATAACTAGTTGATTGTTGCACCAAATGTTACATAACTATTAATTCCAATAATCGGCCATTCTAATATTCAAACTAATTGATGGTCGAAACAAGCATGGCGTGCCCCCATACATCTACTCAAGGTGCTATAGATTGTACTTGACGACTAGGGTGGTATCTTTACCAATCAATCCTTGTTTTGATATATTTGTCCATTATGGAGTGTCTAACATGGTTTTGTTTGGCTGATTGAGTGCTAGTTATTAATCTTCGAAAAATTTGATATCATCATTAGCCCATATTCTCATTGATCCTTGATCAATTGAGAGAAAAATCGCGAGCCACTAGGCTAGTCGATGAGATAAAAACTCTTTTAATCCCTCCCATACAAGCTTTTAATTTCTAACATGTTCAATAATAGGTGATGCTGATTGATTTTGTATGCCCTAGAACCTGCACAAAGAAGGGATTGAGAAACTCATTCTCAATTGCCCTTCAGTGTCAGAGAAATTAATATTTTCTTGGAGTATATATGAAGAAAATAAAACTTGCGATATATGAAAGTTGTTATTGTTGATTTTGAATTCATCTACATTTATACTCTCCTTCGCAACTTTATTTACGATCTTTCACATGAAAACATGTGCACTCTTAATTTTGAATTCATCCATCACATCACCGCACATATCTCCTTCAGAAACGAGGGAATGTCAACAAAGTTGTTATGGTTGATGTACATATATCATTATTCTACTTTTTATATTGTGTTTAGCCTTCTTTCTGTATAGAGACTTTAAGAAGATGGCATGGCAAAGAACAGTTACAATCATGTGGGACAGATGGCTTAGGATTTTTGTAATATGCAATGAGAATTGAAGTTAGTAGAGGAAATTGAGAAGGTAATTGTCATGGATTGATCACCCTCACAAGGCAAAGAGTAGTGTCCTCGAGGTAGTTGTTTGTTCATCCTTTATAACTAGTTGATTGTTGCACCAAATGTTACATAACTATTAATTCCAATAATCGGCCATTCTAATATTCAAACTCATTGATGGTCGAAACAAGCATGGCGTGCCCCCATACATCTACTCAAGGTGCTATAGATTGTACTTGACGACTAGGGTGGTATCTTTACCAATCAATCCTTGTTTTGATATATTTGTCCATTAAGGAGTGTCTAACATGGTTTTGTTTGGCTGATTGAGTGCTAGTTATTAATCTTCGAAAAATTTGATATCATCATTAGCCCATACTCTCATTGATCCTTGATCAATTGAGAGAAAAATCGCGAGCCACTTGGCTAGTCGATGAGATAAAAACTCTTGTGAAACTGAAACTAACTTTTTACTTTGATCATGTGGCTTTTTAGGACTCTATGTGCATGTCTAATCACCATCAAAATGATGGTCGGGTCTTTTCGATTCTCACAACTCAATCGAAATGTCGACATGTCAGTACCAGTGTCATAATAGTTTTCTAACTTAGGGTTAATCTAGAAATGAGGTATGGCTCTAAAGTGGCAAAAAAACTTTTCAAATTCTACACAACTACATATATTTGGATTTGTAGAGAAAAAAAAATCACTTTCATTCTTTAGCTCCGAAGTGAAAAGATAGTGTCATTCCTTCGGTGCTTCAAAAAGCTCAGCAACTCAAGCACAAATGGACTATGAGACCCACGTGGAGCCATGTAATACCATCCCTACCCAATGGGTCATCTCCCTCCACAACATCCAGGACCCTAACATTTGACTCCATCCATTGAGAGGTAAGTTGCGTGGGGGGCTAGGCCATACATTCTTGAGGAAATACAACAAAGTGGCCCATTGACTCGGCCATATTCCAGACTAGCCTTTGTTAAAATGTATAATAGGGTAAGTTAAACACCAAAACCCAAAAATACTCATTTATCTTCTACCAACAGTTTGAGAAAATGAAAAAAAAAAATTGAAAATTATTCACACAGTCCATAGTCAAGATCTAGTTCAAGAAGCACGCTCATAGTCAAATCCAACGTCGACCACCACACATCAGCCATTATCTTCCAACAAGGTTAGTTTTTTTTTTTAATGGAATTATGAGATTTGTTTTAGTTTATTGTTTTTTAAATTATAATGTATAATGTTTATTCTTCATTATTTAGGTAGATCATTGGGTGTAGTAAAAGTTTAGGTACGTATATTTGCGTTTAACTCGTCGAAAATGACTGTTTCTCGCCACCATTTTCGATGAGAAATAGTTAGCCAGGTCGATTGTGATTTACATAGTCGGCCTAGTCAACTGTTAAACAGTTGGCCGCCGCTTTAAACAGTCGGCCCATAACTTTTTTTTTTTTTAATTTTCTTTTCAATTTTTAAAATTTTTTTTTTCTTTTTATGATAAAATTTTAATTTTTTTAATTTTGATTATATTCTATGTTAATTTAATTTTTCCATTTATATATTATTTATTTAATTTTCATAATTTCCTTTATTTTTTTTTTTATTATAATTTGTTTGGAAATAGTTTTAAAATTTCTTAATTTTTTTATTGAAATTTTTTTTACAGTTGTTAACAATCGCAGTTTTAAACAGTCAGTCCAAAGTTTTTTTTTTTTTCATTTTCTTTTCAATTCAAAATTATTTGTAATTCTTTTTTTTTTTTTATGATAAAATTTAATTTTCTAATTTTAATTATATGTAATATTTATATTCTTAGCTAAATATTTTTTGTTCAAATTTAATTAAATAATATTATATTATTTGTTTAATTTTCATAATTTCTTTTTATTTGTGTTTGTCTCCTGTTATTGGAAGAAAAATAGAGTAATGAATAGTATTTTTTGGAAAATGTGATTGAAATTTAAAGTAACTTTATTGGTTTGTGTATAGAATATTTTATTGGTTGAATGTGTGGTGGAGAATTTTACTGTAGCAAACAATTTTTTGAAATAATGGTAGACAAACAGGGGCTTTATTTGTTTTGCTTTTATTATGAATTTTTTTGGAAATAGTTTTAAAATTTATTAGATTTTTTTTTCAATTTAAAATTCTTTTTAATTCTTAATTTTCTATATTTTATTATTTCTTTAATTTATTTTTTTATTTTTGTCTGTAATTCGGTTCACTTAATTTTTTGAAATTATGCTTGTTACATTATATATTGTTGAAGGTTCTAATATTT